GCAGTATTTGTTTGTTGTGTTGTTTGAATGTGATGTTGTGAAACATCACATTCAGATTGTAATGATGATCTCAGTTGCTGATATTAATATCAACGATTTTAAATTTTCCATCAGTTTTTACACAAATGTCAATTCTCTCCCTTTTACTTATTTATGACGTCATCTGCAATTATAAGCTAGCACCTTTGTTTAGTGCACAACTTGAGGCCACTTTGGAATGTAAGTTCTATTTAACTACCATCAGGTCTGGTTAAAAATAGCAGAAAGTATTAATTTTTACTTATATTATTATAATTATCGTAAGAAAGTTATTATTATCTCTAACTGAAAATAATAAAAGTGTAAAAAAGTTTTTATCAAAATAATATATTTTTTTTGTATGTTCATTAGGAGAAAGTAATTCTTAAAAAAAAACTGTAAAGTAGGACTTACGCAAATGTTGCACAACATTTTTTTCTACAGCAATTGTATAAACATATGTGTGCAATAATTATAATAATTGATTTTTCGGGTTAAATTTTGACGTAATAGTAATCATTTTTATATAAAGCAGCTCCTTACCGATCACTTTTTTTTATAAATTTGTAAATTGTAAAACAAATTTACGATATAGTTTACTTATTTTATCATCAAAAATACATAATATAGCTTCTGAAACTACTTTTTGATGTTTTTGGTAGAACTGTCAAAACAGATAAACGAATATTAAACAATGATGATATATTTACCAGACTACGCAGTAAATATCAAATTTCTTTGGGTGGCATGGTATATTGCGCAATATGTCAATTTGTGATACAGGCGGATAAGATTATTGCACAACATCAACTATTGTGCAATATATGTATATTGATTATCTAGAGACTTCTTTCGATTGACGCAACATATTGTGTATTCTTCGAACGTGATCTACATATGATCAATATTATTGCACAATATCATTATTTGTGCTATACATTCATGTAAATTTTGACACTATAGAGTGCAAATTCGATTGACCTAATAAATTGTGTAATGTATTCATTTTACTATTATTTTTAATTATACTCTTTTTTTAATTAATAAAATAAATTGTGTAATAATTCAATTTTATCCACAAACGGTCCCTTTTGTTGTACCGGGTGGTCCAATAAGCCGATCTCTCGGTTATATATCAGAAACTATTCATGTTATAACTTTAGGAGAAAAAATTCCTTAGTAAAGGTGGCCAAGAGAAATCGCTGGAAATAACTTTCAAGTTTCTGGATTAACCGCTAGGGGGCGTAACTGTGAAGAAAACCAGTTTTTGTGAAATAGCCAATTATACCAGTGTTAAATAGTAAACTAGAGAGAGGCCTAAATTCAGCACAAAGTTGTTCAAATACTTTTTTTTATTTTTTACAAATAAAGGGTGGGGGAGAGTGGGAAACTATTTGTGGATAAATACCTATAACTTTGGTTTGGATCAACCGATTTTAAAGAAATTAGTGTCATTAGAAAGAGTGTGGATGAATGAATTTACATCTTCTATAAAATAATTGCATTTGGTTTCAATTGTCATAGGTAGACGGTACTTTCGAATAGAAAAAATTAAAATTTGTTTTTCTTCAAAATGTTAAATGGAAACACCTATTTATTGTAAATTATAATGAAACTGGATTAAATTCGTAACAAAATGGCGCAAACCGCATGTTAATAGCTTTTGTCGAACTCTAGATATGAATAAAAACGCATAAACATAAGTAAGTATAGTATTGACTCACCCTGTATTATAAATTAAACAATAAGACAGTAGGTACCTTTAAAAATTTTTTATAGCAGAAGAATCTTAATGTTGATACCTATTTTGAAAATTGTTATTCCATATGATTAAAAATAGTTTTTTCGAAACTAAGTAGGCTACGACAATGAATTTGACGGAGAGTTCATATTGTTTATTTATTGACATCAGTCAAAACATTGTTAAAAAGTGTTATATTATAATTCGAATTGAAGATTGCATTTTTTTCAATAGATAATAATATTGGTAATATTAGTAATTAATTATCAGTACTAACAATTCGTGATGAGTATATCAAATGCAGAATTGTATGATATGATTGGAGTTTATTTCGAATGTCACAAAAATGCCGCTATTGCCTCACGTATATATTCTGTAAGATATCCTGAGAGGAGACATTATGGCAAAGAAGTATTTGAAAGAAAGGCAAGAAAATTAAGAGAAACTGGTAGTTTTCATCGTCCTTGTTTTAAACGACATAGTAGAGGTATGGCCGAAGATAATTCAATCAATGTTCTTGATTTAATTCAACAAAATTCACATATAAGTAGTCGGCTAATCTCTATAGAATTAAACATACCCAAAACTACTGTTCTAAGGATTTTAAAACATCACAGGTTGGTTTTTCATATTATAAAGTGAACGTTTAGGTCAGAAACTTGGAATTCTCTTTAAACTTTTTAACTGTTATTTTCATATTCCGATAAAAACGGCAACACGGCACTTTTATCCTTTTATCCGTTTCTTAAAAATACTTATGCACGATTTATCTTGTGAAACAATTGTGGATTTTTCAAGATTTTTTGAGTTTTAGTAAATATAGTGGTTTCTTTTTCACCAATATTTGTTGTTCTGTTTTTTAGACTGCATCCTAATCATGTAGTTCTCCACCAAGCTTTACATGAGAGAGATTTTGATGCAAGGCTGGATTACTGCAATCGGATGTTAGGTCTGCTAGAAAAACAACCGCATATCATGTCAAAGATTTTGTGGACAGACGAGGCTACGTTTAATAGTGCGGGTGGTGTTAATCTGCATAATATGCATTATTGGGCTGAAGAAAATCCGCACTGCATACATGAGGTGCAGGTTCAAGGTAGATGGAGTCTTTATGTTTGGTGTGGTATAGTTGATGGAAACATCGTAGGTCCATATTTCTTTGATAGAACTTTAAATGACGAAACATATTTGGATTTTCTGGAAAATCAGTTGCCTGTTTTATTGGAAGATATTTCCTTACAAACAAGAAGAGATATGATATTACAATATGACGGGTGTCCTGCGCACTTTTCCAGACGAGTTCGAGATTATTTGTATGCAAGTTATCCAAATAACTGGATTAGAAGGGAAGTATATTTTCATGGCCAGCTAGATCTCCAGACTTAGTGTACCAAACTCGACCAACCACGCGAGACGACATGAAACAGCGCATTAAAAACGCAATAAATAGTATATCAACAGCTGAGATTGAAGCAGCTGTTATGTCTACGCGCGAAAGATTACATCTTTGTGTGGACAACGATGGAAAACAATTTAAACATTTAATTTGACATTAAGTTTTAATGATCGAGATATTTGTATGATCTTTCACATATTTAATTTTAAGTTATAATAAAGGGTGAGTCAATACTATACTTACTTATGTTTATGCGTTTTTATTCATATCTCGAGTTTGACAAAAGCTATCAACATGCGGTTTGCGCCATTTTGTTAAGAATTTAATCCAGTTCATTATAATTTACAATAAATAGGTGTTTTCATTAAACATTTTGAAGAAAAACAAATTTTAATTTTTTCTATTTGAAAGTGCCCTCTACCTATGACAATTAAAACTAAATGCAATTATTTTATAGTAGATGTGAATAATTCATCCACACTCTTTCTAATGACACTAATTTCGTTAAAATCGGTTGATCCAAACCAAAGTTATAGGTATTTATCCACAAATACTTTGCCACTCTCCCCCACCCTTTATTTGAAAAAAAATAAAAAAAGTACTTTAACAACTTTGTGAGGAATTTAGGCCTCTTTCTAGCTTACTTATTTAACACTTGGTATAATTGGGCATATTTCACAAAAAACTGGTTTTCAAATTTTTCTTCACAGGTTACGCCCCTAGCGGTTAACCCAGAAACTTAAAAGTTATTTCCACCGATTTCTCTTGGCCACTTTTACTAAGGAATTTTTTCCTCAAGATGAGAGATCGGCTTATTGGACCACCCGGTACAATATATATACAATATAAATAATATTCACTATATTCATGTTAATATTGTCATATTGTCAGTATTATTGCACAATATCAGAAATTGTGAAATACATTTATGATCGTCGAGGGGTCGCTTAAGCAATTTATAAAGTGCAGAATCACTCGAATGTCCTAAATTAACGCTATAAACATAATAAATCAAATTGTAGATAATTTTGCCCTTGACAGAACATCATAAGTATATTTATGTCGAGATAACAGTTTTATTATTTTCAGTTCTGCATTTATCAATCAGTGAAAGTGATAGGTGCTCTAAGACTTGTCTATCTATCAATCAGTCATTATATATTTAGCAAGAATTAAAACACGACATTGTAGCAGTATAAATTTTGTGTGTAGTGTAGAGTATAGAGATGGGGTGCGATTTTACAGTGTTTTACTTCGTCACCATTTAACCGTTACAAAGTGACACAAAGTACAACGTGAAAATGGTATTTATCAAACAAAACTATTTGGCGAAATGATTAAAATTATAACATCGTCATATTCGTAGATGCCACATAATGACATTATATAACTTATCCTAAATTTAGTTCATTTTTAGTGTAATAGTAAAGTGTTAAATGTTAATAGATAAAATTGGAACTAAAGTATCCAAATCGACTGAAGAAAAGCTAAAACGATGGAAAGAATATGTGGAAGAGCTCTTCGATGACGAAAGAGGAAACCTACAAGACATATCTTTCGAGGACAGAGAAACAAGTATAGAAATTAAAAAGGAAGAAATATTGTATGCACTAAAGAGCACCAGAAACGGAAAAAGCCCGGAGCCAGATCAACTGTCTATTGATATCCTTAAAATAATAGAAAATGAGTATATGTATGTCCACTTAAAGCCCTTTAATGAAATTTGCCACTCGGGTGAAGGAAGAACACATAAATAAGTTACAGTCCTTTGAAATGTAGTGTTACAGGAGGATGCTTAGAATAGCATAGACACAGAAAAAAACTAACACGGAAGTATTGCGAGAAATGGGCAAAGAATGCGAAATAATAAACACAATAAAAATAAGAAAGTTACAATATCTGGGACGCGTAATGAGGCGACAGCTAAGGCTCATAATACAGGGAAAGATAAGAGGAGGAAGGAGTATAGGAAGAAGGGGAGTGTCATGGTTGAAGAATTTAAGGAACTGGTTTAAATGCAGTTCTCTAGGACTCTTTAGAGCAGCAGTAGATAGAATAATGATGTATCACACACTTAAAATGTTTTTAAAGAACATCCATAAACGCCTTTACCAAATACTTGACATGGATATTAAACTTACATTCAACGTATGTACGTCTATATCGTACAGATATGTACGTCTGTATTCCACTGTGTGTTTGTGAATAATTTAGCCTTTCGATATACTTTTTGTATCTGAGATGACATAGTTTTTTGGTTTGGCTGAGATATTTACTACTCATTCTAACACATCACGATATAACTATAACATAGTAGTATTTTAAAAAGAAAATAGTTTGAATGTAAGTTAAAATAGAATTGAAACGTGGGAGAAATGAAACATCCTCCTAATGTTTTGTTGAAAACAACAATATAAGAAGGAAAATTGTTCAACTACCTAGGGTTTGCTACTATAAGGCTCAATATATTTAGAGAATTATGAACGCGAGCCCTACTAATTCGTAGAAGTGTCGCCAAAGGCCTCAATAGACTTCGTTAAAAAGGCTGCTCTGAAAGGACAACTTTAACCTAAGGATGAGCCACGATAAACCTCTTATGTCGAATGGGAGGGTAGTGAAGCGTCCACTCATAGATATGTAATACAATAGAGATGAGTGCTGCAATACAGGGCCGTTCCCACAGTGCGACAAAGAAAATTGACGCTAAGCAGTCCTTGTATCTCTTTCTAATAGTTGGGGTTTATTGACCACGTGGAAGGTCACGTGGTGAATAAACCCGACCCATTAGAAAGAGATGCAGGGACTGCTTTGCGTCAGTTTTCTCTGTCGCACTGGGGGAACGGGCTTGTATTGCATTGCTCAGTCCATATATGTATGCCTTTACTCATATTGAACCTAACCTCTCTGCACTAGTGACGGACGCGTCGGGTATTCAACACATATTCACGCGACCTAGAGGATGATATTGAGAGAGATCGTACAGTTTGCTGTAACGACATACAAGTCAGTCTCACTTCCAAAACGCTCCAATAGATGTTCCATTAAAAAAAAAGAATCAATCAAACTTTTTACTGCAATTCTCAAATATTCTTAATAAGAGAGAAATCTAGAAATTGCCATGCTGTGTATTTTTTGTTAATAATATTTTACCATAGGACACACATTAATGAACTACTTGGAGGAGAGACAACTTTTTGCTATGAACTCGTTTTTTAACAAAAAACCACAAAGAAAATGGACATGGATAATTCCCAACGGTAATACAAAAAACGAAATAGATTACATCCTTACAACAGAAAAAACCATCATCAAAGATGTTACAGTACTGAACCGCTTCTCAACCGGTAGCGATCATAGACTTGTCAGAGCCAAACTCAGGATTAATAGCCAATTCGAAACAAAAAAGAAAATAGAAAATGTATCGAAACTAGATATGGAAAAACTTAAGCAATCAAAAGACGAATATAAACAAAAAATAAAGGAAAGTATACCGGTCACTAGAGATTTGGAAAACAAAAATATCGATGAAATAAATCAGCTATTAACCGATACATTAGCAAAGGCGGGAAAAGAGGTAGCACAAACAAGAATAAAAAAGGAAAACTATGTATCCCAGGAAACAAAAAATCTCATGAGTAAAAGAAAAACATTACTGGAACAAGATAAGAGAAACACAGTAGATTACAAAGAGGTAAACAAAGCTATCAGAAGGAATATCAAGGATTATAAAAGGAGAGTACAGGAAGAAAAAATAGAAAAAGCAATTGAACAAAATAAAAACATGAAGTGCTTAAAACCACAGCTTGGAACCATACAAATTAATAGTATAAAGAACAAAGAAGGTACAGAGACCAATAATGTAGAAGAAATTATACAGATAACACAAGAATATTATAAAAACCTCTACAATACAAAACAGAAACCAACCCAAGAAATCCTTAAGCAACTACAAATAAAAATAAAAAATGTTAATTCCGACTTACAACCAGAGATCAGTAAGAACGAGATAAGAAGAGCACTCAAAGAGATGAAGAACAATAAATCGCCAGGAAAAGACGGGGTGACTGTAGAAATGCTAAAACATGGTGGGAAAACAACTAGAGAAGTTTTGTACATACTTATGAATAAAATTTTAATGACAAAACAAATACCCAACAGTTGGAACGAAGCAATAACACTGTTACTATTTAAGAAAGGAGATAAAAAGGATCTAAAGAATTACAGACCCATAACTTTATTAAATGTGATGTACAAACTATTAACCAAAATATTAACAAATAGATTAACAACTAAATTAGATGGATACCAGGCAAGAGAACAAGCCGGATTTAGAAAGAGCTTCAGTACAAGTGACCACCTTTTAACGATGAAGATTTTAATCGAAAAAACTAACGAATATCATATCCCGCTATACATGGCATTTATTGACTTTGAGAAGGCATTTGATAGTGTGGAACACTGGGCAGTACAGAATTCCCTACAAAACAGCAGAATAGACTACCGATATACCGACTTAATTACAAATATATACAACAAGGCAACAACAACTATTAAGCTAATGAAACAAACGGAGCCTATTAAAATAAACCGAGGAGTAAGACAAGGAGATACCATCTCGCCCAAGTTATTTAACCAAGCGCTAGAAGATGTTTTTAAACGACTACACTGGGATGACTTGGGAATTAATATAAACGGGCAAAATCTGAATCATTTACGATATGCTGATGATATTGTATTAATAACAGAAAAAAGTGAAGAATTACAAAGAATGATGGAAGAACTAGATAGAGAATCGACAAAAATTGGACTCAAGATGAATTATAGTAAAACAAAAACCATGACTAATCAACCAGAAGAACTTATAATTACAGTGGCACAAACAAAAATAGAACAAGTAAAAGAGTATATATATATATATATATATATATATATATATAAATATATATATATATATACAGGGTGGTGAATCGTCAAACGGACCATAGGAAACTCAATGGGAAATTCTAAATTGTTGAATTCCTGCTTCCCTAATTATTTTACACCAAAAGTCATGGGAAACTATTTGTAGAGGACTCAAATATGTATCGAAAACAACTGTTAAAATTATTCTACGACTTAAACGTATTCCAAAATTTTGCTAAAATATAATACATTTTTCTGTGAAAAAATGTGTATTACGTGTTGCGTTTTGTCATATTATTGTTTCTGATATTTGACAATATTTAAATCAATTATATTACATTTATCTATGATTTAAATGGCCAAAATTTTGTGATTTATTGTTAAAAAAATTAAGTTGATTAAAAAATGTACTCAGTTGAGAAGAAAAAAGCAATAATAAAAATGTTTTATTCATGTTTTATTATAACATTTGTTATAGTTTTATGTTTAGAAATTATCATATATTATTATTAGGAATAAAGATCACAGTAACAGTATATTGGAATTCATTGAATTGTTGTATAACTTAACTTAACATGGAATTAAATTTTAGTGAATTAGAATATCTTACGTTAAATAAAGATCCGGTAGTGGCAGGAAAAGGTTCGCGCTATTGCCTGAATACAACATTATGCGATTTTTCGTCAACTGAGTACATTTCATTATATTGATCGATTTGTAAATAATATAATTTATTGTTCACAAAGTAATAATGTTCATTAGTAGTAGTATTTAGTAAAATTCATTGTTTATAATTTAATCATAAAATAAAAAAATTGACAATTCAAATTGTCAAACATCTGACATAAATATGATAAAACACAAACGTCCTAATATATATTCTTGCATTACGTGTGGCCTAACTTTTAGGGGTGGCCTGAAAAATGTATTATATTTTTCCAAAATTTTTAAGTACATTTGAGTCGTAGAACGGTTTTAACATTTGTTTTTAATTCAGATTTTAGTCCTCTACAAATAGTTTTTTATGACTTTTGATCTAAAATAATTAGGGAAGCAGCAATTCAACAATTTAAAATTTCTCATTGAGTTTCCTATGGTCCGTTTGACGATTCACCACCCGGTATATATATATATATATATATATAATATATATATATATATATATATATATATATAGATATATATATATATATATATATATATATATATATATATATATATATCTAGGCCAAATCACTAAATTAAATAAAGAAAATCAGACCGAAGAAATAACGAGAAGAATAAGATTGGCCTAGGCATCATTCGGAAAACTATCTTATATTCTAAAGAATTCAAAATACCCCCAATACTTAAAAACGAGAGTCTTCAATCAATGTATACTCCCTGTCCTCACATATGGCTCTCAGACATGGACGTTTACAAAGGAAAATATGGAAAAAATAGCAAAGACAGAAAGATCCATGGAAAGACAAATGCTGAACATTAAACTATCAGACAAAAAAAGAAACGAATGGATCAGTAATAAAACAAAAGTGAAAGATGTCTCAACCCAAGTAGCAAAACTTAAATGGAAGTTCGCCGGACACACCCTAAGGCAGAAAGATGAAAGATGGACTAAAACAATTATCCATTGGAGACCATGGAATCACAAACGTAAAAGGGGAAGGCCACAAACAATGCGATGGTCAGATGACCTGAAGAAACACGCCGGGTCAAAATGGATGCAAATTGCCCAAAATAGAGAGGCATGGAAGAAGGAGGAGGAGGCCTATATCCAAGGATGGATGTTAAGGGCTGTATAGATAGATAGATAGAATATTTTACCGCGCACTTTTCTCTGGCTAAAAGCGTAGGCACATGGTGACTCCTTTGATTTGAAGGATGCGGTTTTTGTTTTCATTGCGTGTTGATTTTTTTTAACTAGTGATTTCCACTTTGAATATACGTTTAGGGCGGTTTTCTCCAGGAAATCTCAACAACAGAAGTGACTCCCTAAACCTACACCCAGGAAATCACTGGTTTGAAAACCCAAAACCTAAAATTGAAAAGAAAAACCACAGCCTGCAATCCGAACGGCAGATTCCGGACTTGTACACACTCAAGATATAAAAAAGTGAATAAATAAAAATTTCTGAGAAAATAAGTGAATTGTAAGCATGTTCACGACAAATTTAAACTAGTTTTATTTGAAAGCGATATAAAGCCGCAGCACCTATCACTTTCACATCTCGAAATATGTCTCATATGCTCCTATATCTCACTAGTAGTTAACAGTGCAAAACATTTGCATAACAGTGCAAGTCATAAGACATTCAGTTTGTAAGTCAGCTTAAATATACTTAGCTTACATCTTATGTAAATGACTATATTTTTATATTTAACACTATGTTTTCTTTAACGATACATTATTTTACGGGTTTTTAGGCTGTATGTCTGGAATTATTGCTTGCTGAAGTTTCTTGCAACTGCGGTAGACACTATCAAAGACCCAAACGCACCGAAAATTTCAAAACCGATTCAGACGATTCGACAGAGTCCGGGGAGCACTCAAAATTTTTCAAAAAATCAAGTTGCAAACGAAAAATGTCAGAAAGGAATATTATACGCCTGGAAAACAATGTACTATTGCAAAACACTGATAATGAATACCTACACCATTTAATAAATACTTGTTCTAATGTGTAAATGTCATACTATTTTGTGGTAATTTTTTGTTATCGACAGCCTTATTTATTCTTCATTGATGCATTTATTTGTAATAATTATAGTTTTATAGATCATGTAATGGCCCATAACACAAAATCTATTCACAAAATATCCTTAAGTTTTTTTTAATGCTTAAGGGGGTATGTTCACGCCGCAGTTAAAATGAGCGGTGTTCAAATAAACTAACGTTTAACAATTTTTTAAATAGATGGCAGCACGTGCATCATATTTTAATATTTTGATTTTCTCGAAATTTAATTATCTGAACAGCGACAGTGTTGCCAATGAGGCCAAGTACTGAAACTTAAAATATAATATACGATCGGGAGAATCGGTATAGTTCGCTCACGGTCGGCAGTCTTCTGCTATGTAAGTTGAAATTAGCTATCGTATTATTTTTGAAGTTTCACAAATTCTAATTTTTGGATTGCATCATTCCATATAATTTTTTAATTTTTGTATCGTGTTGCGTTGAGGTTCATTTACCTTTGAAGTTAAATTGTTGTTTTGTTTTTTTTTGTGTTGTTTTTTTAGTTTTGTAAACATTTTAAATTGTGCATATTAGTTTTGTAAAAAACTAAACTTATTTCAAGTACAAAAAATTACTTATAATAAAAATATACACCTGTAAACCTCATAATTTATTAACCCATCAGCGGACGCTAAGGACTGATCAGTTCTTTGTAATTTTACATTTATCTTGGCAATAAGACTATTGAATTTATATTCATTTTCAGCCAGTAAACGAAAACCTTCCGTTGCTAAATCAATTTTTTTTTTTCATTTTAAACTTCACTCTGTAAAAATGTCATTAACCCACTCTAAAGTGTGTTTTTAAAGTTGTAACTTCTGCAGTTTTTCCAATATTTTCCATGGACACGAAAACATAAGATGCCATAGTCGAATCATATTTTCTGGCAGACATGACTTAATAAGAGGATACAATATCGCCGCTAACTTGTCAGCAGTTTTGTCTAAGGTCTCAAGTGAACGAAGTTGACTATCAATCATATCATAAAGAGCAGAAATATTACTATTATAAAGATATATATATATATATATATATATATATATATATATATATATATATATATATATATATATTACTAAGAAACTCGACTTAAAATTAACTTTAAGAGCTCTCTAATGTAAACTTCAATTTGGAGATCCTCTATGCCAAACCTAGACTGCAATCTCTGAATAATTTTTGAACTCGATTGGAGGTAATTTAAATTTGCGCTTCTTCGGAAGCTTCTTCGAATATACTTTTAAGTACCGTACTCTCCACTTCACAAAACTCATTGTATTATTTACTTGTAAGAGTTCCCGGGAAACAATAGCTGTTTTCGTAAATGCACTAACGTTCTGCGTTTTCGCAGAAATAATACAAAATTAAATTTTAAGTAGACTCGCGATTATCCGAGTCTAGGTTATCCGAGCCCCTCAGTTAACCGAGGCAAAATTTTGCCTTGGTTTTACCTTTATTTACCTTTAGTCGTACTTGTTGAATCACAATATCGAGTAATAAAAAAAGGGTCGATGGTCAGAAGTTATATCGGCAGCTGTTATATGGGCAATCAATTGAAAATTTTGGATTATTGATAAGAAGAGAATTATTTGTAAGGTATGCTTTAGGTCAAGCTGATGTGAAAGAGATTTCATGCGCAGAAATTTCTGTGTGGTGTTTTGTCTACAACTTCCTGTTCCTTTCTATGTTAATCAATGTGAATTTAACTACCGATTTGTTTGGTGTCGTTCAGATCGTCAAATTAAGAATCTGTACGGTAATATTTTTCCTTTTATGTACTGTTTTGTGAATTTATTCCAGTTATTAGTTTCGGTTTCATAATTAATTTTTCATAAGTTGATTTGTGTGAGTGTAAGAGAGAATCTTTCTGTGCAATATGACTGGAAAGCGGAAGAGAGTAATTGCACCTTTGGAAACAAAAGTGAATACAATTAAGAGGTTGGACAAGGGTGAATCAATAAAGAAGGTTTCTTCAGATTTAGATGTCGGAGAAGTAGCTGTTGGATATTGGAAGCGTAAGCGGAATGAAATCGAACAGTGGATAATGAATATACCCTTTATGGGAAAGATAAGGAAGATGCTGTTTTGTTTTAACATTTCCAAGTATTGAAAATAGATGTAGAACACTAAAAAATGTATTTATTGTTACGTGTGGAACGTCATGCAGTTACTTTCCGTAAACCTCATAATTCATTAACCCAGCAGTGGTAGATCAGTTCCCTGCATAGATAATTTTACATTTTTCTTGGCAACAAGGCTATTGAATTTATATTTATTTTTAGTCGGTAAACCAAAACTTTCCGTCACTAAATCAATTTCTTCTTTATTTTGAAATTCACTCTGTAAAAAGCTCATTAGCTCGCTCAATCTTGTTTCTAAAGTTGTAACTTCTGCAGTTTCTCCGATATTTTCCATGGACACGGAAACAAGATGTAATAGTCGAATCATATGTTCTGGCAAACGTGACTCAATAAGAGGATACAATATCACCGCAAATTTGTCAGCAGGTTTTGTCTAAGGTCTCAAGTGAAAGAACCTCTAAATAATTTTTTAACTCGATTGGAGGTAATTTAAATTTGCGCTTACCTTTTACACTTGATGACTCAAAGTATCTTGCACTGTATTTATCAGTTGCCTCTATCTCACTGATTAACTATTCTTCGGAAGCTTCTTCGAATATACTTTTAAGTACCGCACTTTCCACTTCACAAAGCTCATAGTAGTTTACTTGTAAGAATTACAAGTAAAGCTAACAAACTGTCCAAAACATTAGCAATTTTCGTAAATGCACTATCCGAAGTACCGCTCTGCGTTTTCTATCTGATTTCATGTTCCGACGGTAACTTTGGCCGACCCTCACGGCAAAAACAAAACTATTCGCCGGAAAAAAGTTTGCACTAATATAGGCGAAAACAACTAACTTCCCGTATATAAGTCCTGTCATATCCCGCAGTTATCTTTCGCGAAATAATACAAAATTAAATTTTAAGTACAAAAAAATTTACTTTTGTATTAAATTACACAAGTGTAGTTTTATAATACAGCTTGCTCTGGTTGTAAAAATTCGACTAAATATATGTATGCAATTTTGCAATTCTAATACATATTATTAATATGATACATGATACTCATCAATACATTCTCAGACGGAAAAGTCGTAAAATTTAATTATCTTACACCAGCACTTAGCGGATGTGCTGATTAGGGATTTTTTAAAGTAAACATATTAATTACTTGACATTTTTTTTGCTAATACATTATACACAAAACGTTCATTCATTTGGAAATATTTACGACAATTCTGAATTCTTTATCTACCCAAAAATATTTATTCCAAACTGAAAAAGAAATTTGCAATTGTTTGAAAATCTAAAATACGTTTACTTTTTTTCATATCGAATGTTAACAGTAGAAGTTTTTTACTTAGAAAATTTCAGATTTTCATCTGATTTCTAATTATGACTCAAGTAAATTTCAATAGTCTTTTTCATTTACGGAAATAATTAATCGACAAAATTTAATCAATGATTACATTATATTGTTTTGTCTATAAAAATTAAATTTGCCAAAACGTGAATGAAACTGTAATTACTGGTATACTTGTATTTTTTGTGACGTTATGCAATCATGATTGATAATTGACAGTCAAACGAAGCCAAAATATTAACTGGTAGGGGCCGCTTTGCTAAACAACCACGTGATTCGTATTACCATGGTTACTGCACAACAAATAGACAATTATTGGCATAACCACAAAACTAGGTTTCAATGTTTTGCAGATTTTTCTTAAATTTGGCAAACACGCATTTGTCGCTATTTAATACATCACTGCTGCCTTCTACTAAATGACACGTGAACTAATTTTCACATCTATTAAGTGATAGCGGAACTAATTTCTCACTAGCAAAATGCCAACTTATAACGGTGACATCAACAAAATCCCTAGTTTGCAGCTTTTAATTGTAATTTTATCTTTAGGTACAGTTAATTTAAAAATTACGGCAGTATGGATAACGAACATTCGCTTAAAATAAAGGTTTTTGGATAGTTAATCATTTAAAGTAGTTATTTTGTACCTAAGTTCAAAAATTATTACATAATACCAATTTTTAGGCACGTTACCACGTAAGTTATGACATGGATTCATTTAAGTACAGTTATAAAAAAATTACTGCTTTCTTTGGAAATTTTAACTAGATATCATTAAAATAGAAAGTTTACAGTTTACGTACATAGTCATAAGTTGAAGATTGGTTTTGAAATAGTGACGATAACTGTACCTAAAAAGTATACAAATTTTAACATTGTGACATACCACCTTAAGCAACTTTTTAACCCATTTCTCACGAATGTCTACAGATAAAGCTTATGCAGGCCATTCACGTTCCGACTTGTGGTACCACTAAGTAGGACCACTAGTTGGATGTTCGTCTCCACTCACGCTCCGACTTTCTATCCAACTAGCGGTCCAACTTCAGTTCTAGGATGTATCGAATAAACACTACGCAAAATATAATTAGGAGAAAAATGACAGCACTGTGCTTGTTATCTTTATTGTATGTTATGATAATTTAAAAATTAGGTTTAGTTTCTCTAGGTATTTGTCTAGGGCTGAACTAATTAATTTTTTCAACGCTTGATTTTTATGACTTTTTAAGATGTAGGAAAAAATTATAGTTTTTAAAGATTTGTATAGGTATAAAATCTATATTTTATTTGTTTAAACTGGAGCTGGGATTTATTTTGTTGTGTGTGTGTCGTAGATTTTTAATAGGAATAATTATTGTTTGTGCAATTGAAAGTTATTTTCTATTATTTTTTTGCGAACTAGGGATCTTTTGCTACAAGTATAATTTAATTTTTATTGTATGTTGATAATTCTTCTGTAGCCAATCCGGAGTATCGGAAATTTACCTGTATAGGAATGTCCGAAATAGATCTACAGAAAGGAAAATGAT